ATGGGTTATTTTTTAAATTTTTTGATAGTGTCCTTTGAAGAAAAAGGTCTTAATTTTGATGGGGTCCAATTTAATTGTGTGTTCTTTGGTTGCTTATTCTACTGGTGTCATATTTAAGAAGCCCTTTCCCTATCCATGGTGACAAAGAGCTAAACCTATGTTTCTTTCTCAGAGTTTTATAATTTAGACTATTTAAAAAAAAGATTTTATTTATTTATGAGAGAGAGAGAGAACAAGAGTGGGGTATAGGGGCAGAGGTAGAGGGAGAAGCAGACTCCCCACTGAGCAAGGAGCCCACTCAGGGCTTGATCCCAGAACCTTGGAATCATGACCTGAGCCAAAGGCAGATGCTTAACCCACTGAGCCACACAGATGTCCCTGGAAGACACTTCATAAGAGTCTTAGATATATTAAGGTTTTGAATTTACTTTGAGTTAATTTTTGTATATCATATAAGATGAGGGCCCGGTTTCATTTCTTTGCATGTGGAACTTCCAGTTGTCCCAGCACCGTTTGTCCAAGAGACTGCTCTTCCCACCAAGTGGTCCTGACACTCTTCCCACCAAGTGGTCCTGGCACCTTGTCAAAATCAGTGGACTGTAATTGTGGGTTTGTTTCTGGACTCTCAATTCTATTCCATTGATCTGTGTCTCTCTCAGGGCCAGTACCACCTGTTTTGATTACTGTAGCTTTGTAGCAAGTTTTGAAATCAAGAGCTATGAGTATTCCAAGTGTGTTTTACTTTTTAAAGATTATTTGGGCTAATTGGCGCCCCTTGAAATTCTATGTGAGTCAGCTTTTTGATTTCTGTACTAATCTGATGAGATTTTGATAGGGGTTGCATTGAGCTTGTGAAATATTGCCATATTAGTAATATTAAATCTTCCATTCTAGGGGCACTTGGGTGGCTCAGTCATTAAGCATCTGCCTTCAGCTCAAGTCACAATCACAGGGTTGTGTGATTGGGCCCCTCATCAGGCTCCCTGCTCAGCGGAGAGCCTGTTTCTCCCTCTCTCTCTCTGCCACTCTGACTGCTTGTGTTCTCTCTCTCTCTCAGTCAAATAAATAAATAAATCTTTTAAAAAAAGCTTCCAGTCCAGAAACAGGGTGGTTGTCTCCTCATTTACTTGGGTATTATTTAATTTCCTTCAGAATAGCAGGAGAGGCAAATAACAATGAAACTTTGGAAAGAAAAGTACATAGATGGGTTTTTAAAAAAATTATAAGCATGTAAGGGAAAAGTCAAGAAGCTTGGCTTCTCATCAAAGTCATCAAAGGTTAGTGACACCATGTTTGTCTGGTGGGGGTGTGGGGGCCAGCTGACATCAAGCAGACCCAAAATCCATTTAAGAAACAGTGAGACTTTCACCTCCGGGCACTCTACAGAGCATTTTCCACACACTGGCAAGTATCTGGAGGGTTATTTTCTAGAGGTGGTTAAAACCAAAGGCCTCTTGACTAGGGGCATCTGGGATCAAATGAAGGTGTGGATGCCATCCCAGCAAATACATATGGAATCCTACACATTGCCCACTGAGCTGCCAGAACTCTGGCAACCAGCTCTTCACTCTTCTCTGGCCAGAGGTTGGTAGAGTCTGATTTCTCAGAGGACTCTGACAAGTCCATAGAAAAAGACCTAAAGATACTGATAAGGGTCCCCAAATAAACTTCCCAGTTAGAAAATTGGACAGTGATGTCCAGATTCAGTAAGCTGTAAACACAAGCTCAGAGCTTTCAAACTTGAAAAAAAAATTTTTTTTAATTGAAGCATAATTTACTTACAACAAAATGAAGCTTTTTTCTTTTTTTTTTCTTTTCTTTTCTTTTTTTTTTTTTTTTTTTGGTTCAAGCATTTGTAAAACCACTGTTAGAATCAGGATAAAGAACAGTTTCATCAACCTCCAAGTGAAATGTCTTCTTAATCTCCAACATTTACAAACATACAAATCATACAAAGCACAGGGCTTGGAAGAAACAGAGATTGCATATATGCTCAAAGATAACGTATTGCGCTCAGGAACAGAGACTAGGACATCCCTTCGGAAGTAACATTCTGAGAACCATAGCACACCTGTTAGAAATGCAAAATATGATAGCAGAAATTAAAAACCCATTGGATGGGCATTCATCCCAGAGAAACAAAGACTTGTATTCATCTCTGTGTGTACATGATTGTTTATAGCAGTTTTATTCATAATAACCCCTAAATGGAAACAATTGAAATGTCCTACAATGGGTGAATGGTTAAACAGTGATGCATGCTACTCAACAATAAAGATACATGAACAGAAGTGGCATTATGGAAATGGTGGAGTAGGAACTCCAGGAATCCATCCTTCTACTGAAAGAATAACTGAGCTGGCAGGAATGGTCTGAAGCAAGTGTTTGGGAGCTCTAAAATTTAATCAAACACCAACAGCATCTAGGGGAGAGCTTGGTGAAGAGGCTTGTAAATTTTAGTGAACTTCTATGTTTCCAGCACCATGGCAGGCAGCCACAGGCACAGGGGCCTGTGTTCATGGTGCGGCTTACTGAGGCAATAGGACCTTGTCCTTCAAAACTCAAGTTTTTTTTTTTTTTGTTTTTGTTTTTTTTTTTGTTTTTTTTTTACTGCCTGTTGCTGCTATTAACTACTGATGGCTGATTATGCAGAATTAAAAGGATTAGAAGAGAATACCATAAACAACTATATGCTAACAAATTGGATAACCTGGATGAAATGGGCATATTCCCAGAAATACACAACCTACCAAGACTGAATCATGAAGAAATAGAAACTCTGAATAGACTTAAGTAGTAAGTAGACTAATTCAGTAATCAAAAACCACCCAACAAAGAAAACCCCTGGAACAGATGATTTCACTGAATTCTACCAAAGATTTAAAGATCTAATATCAATCCGTTCCAAACTTTTCCAAAAAAAATTGTAAAGGGGGAAATATTTCCTAACTCATTCTATGAGGCCAGCATTTCCCTGATGCAAAAGTCAGAAGACACTATAAGAAAGCTACGACTGATAATCCCTTATGAATATTGATGTAAAAATCTTCAGTGAAATACTAGCAAACTGAATTCAGGAACATAAGAGGATTATACACCACAACCATGTGAAATTTACATCTGTAATGCAAGGATGGTTCAACTTATGAAAAGCAATCAAATATATCACATTGAAGAAAAATGAAAATAAACCCCACACAATGACCTCAACTGATACCGGAAAAGCATTTGACAAAATTCAACACACTTCCCTGATTGAAAAAAAAAACAACACTCAGCAAACTAGTAATAGGAAAAACCTACCTCAACGTAATAAAAACCATATATGAAAACCCCACACTTAATGTCCAACTCAGTGGTAAAAAGACTGAAAACTTTCCCACTAGGATGAGGAACAAGGCAAGGTTGCCTGCTTTTGCCACTTGTATTCAACATAGTACTGGAAGTTCTATCCAGAGCAATGACAAACCCCTAAGAATCACACACACACACACACACACACACACACACACACACACGCAAAGAAAATGTCAGGATCAGATGGACTCACTGGTGAATTCTACCAAAACTTTACAAAGAATTAACATCAGTCCTCATCAAAGTTCCCAAAAAGTTGAAAAGGAGGGAATGCTTCCAACCTTATTTTCTGAGGTCGTGATTACCCTGATAGCAAAGTCAGAAAAAGACACTACAAGACAAGAAAACTATGAATATAGATTCCAAAATCCTCAACAAAATACTATCAAAGTAAATTCAGCATCATATTAAAATGATTATGTGTCATGACCAGGTGGGATTTATGCCCACAAAGCCAGGGTGCTTTATAATAAGAAAGCAATGTAATCAATCAATGTAATGCATCACATTAGTAGAATGAAAGCAAAAGAGAAAATGGAGAGTGACTTGGGGACATGTGGCACAGATGAAATGCCCATAGCACCTGGGATCATCCCCTTGCTTTCATGACACCACTGACTTTGTCCTCTCTATCCATGCTTCTGTCTGGGTCACAGGCATTGAATATCTACTTGATCATTAAATATTGGGTATCTTAACACTCATCCCAATGCCCTCTTCACTTCTTGCATACCACCTCCCATTCAGATGATTGTCTTCAGTTACCACTGATGCATCAGTGACACCAAAACATACTATATGCCCAGACCTCACCTCTCTGGAGCTCAGACTCAGATATATAAGTGCCTAAGTGGAGGGAGGCCTCAAAGGCCTCTCAAACTCAACCTGACCAAGGGTGAACCCGTGGTCTCCCTCCAAGGCCTACTCCAGTCCCATCCCATGGCAATAAAAGAAACCCAGAGTCCTTGTTGGCCCACCCACAGCCTCTGCCACCAGTCTGTGTTAACTGGGTCTCCTGAAATCTCTCAAATCCAAGCCCCTCACTCCATCTCCATCACCACCTCATTCCAAGTTGCCACCATCCCTCATCCATGTTACTGCCTTTGGTGGCCGCCTGGTCTACCCACACCTACTTCTGGCCCCATTTACTTTGTTCTCCACACTGCCACCAGAGCGATTTTTTTCAAAACACCTATGTAGTCTGGGATACAGACACAGAGAAACTGAGTTGTTTGCCTGAGGCCACACAGAAGGCAGTGGCCCAGACTGGGAGACAGGAAATTGGTCTTTGAGGTCCCGCCCTAAACTCTCATACCCTCACCCCCATGATGGCTGGGCTGTGGCGAGGGCTCAGGTCAGAGTCGGCCAGGATCACTTCTCTGCAACCAAAGTAAGGTTTTAGCTATTTCTGGGGCATCTCTTCTGTTCCCAGAATCTGCATGGGAGCGATCCCTGCTGTGGAATGTGTTCAGGTGGATGCTGAACCCAGGGTACTGGGTGTGGGAATGCCAGTAAGCCCTGTGCACTCCCTCCCCTCTCTACAGCCACTCTGGGCTAAGCCACATGGTTCAGCAACCGCAGTGTCACTGATTGTGACTTCAGGGACTTCTGATGTCGCAATGACCCTGTGGGCCTGGCCCGGTGGGGCCCTAGGGCCAGTACTCCTGTGGTAGCATGCCAGCCAGGACCATGGCCAGCTCCCGCCCTTCTGGTGTCACATAAGCCAGCCTGTAAGTAGCCTGCAGCTTGGATGATCCACTTACCCCCTCCCTCCTGGCTGGAGGCTCTGTATACCCAGGCCTGTGCCTCTCTATATCACTGAACCAAGACAGTGTTGTAGCTGGGGCGGGGGGGTGGGCAGCGTTGGAGGGGGGTGTTAAGGGGCATAACAGCTCTCATATCTGGTGTCTTCCTGACACTGCCAGCACACCCTGAGCCAAGCCCCCATCATGGTCATACCAGGATTTGGGGAGGCAGCCTAGGTGGCTGGGAAGGACAGTCCCAGATCAGCTTAGGAAGCAGGAGCAAGATGGCACCAGGGACAGATGGCCCTGGTGTCAGAGTCCTTCCTTGGCTTCTGCAATGGCCCTTCTGCCCCTGAGGGAGACAGATTCAGCCATGTCAGTTTGTGGGGTCACGCCCATGGCTTAGGGACTGCAGGTAGGTATGGGGTGGGACTGAGGGGTGCCCCTTCCCCACCTCCTCCAGACCACTGGGGTCCTGTAATGGTGACGTATCCTCTGGTCAGTCGCTGGTATGGTCACCTCTCCCAGCCCCGTTCAGGACTGTTTGAGGCTGCAGAGCTCTAATGGCCACTCTGGACCGCACCTCATTCCCTACTCACCAGGTGGGTGGGGGTATAGGCAAAGCACCTAACCTTTCAGAGCCTCAGGTTCCTTTCCCAGAAAACAGGGATGACCATAATCTGTTTTCCATCAGGGGGAGAACATTAAATGAGGTCACACATGGAGCTTAGCAGAAACTTCGCTGAGCCCAGGGCCTGTGCATCCCACTGTGACACAGGCACCTGTCCTGGACCAGGACCCTCTCCTGGCTTCTTAGCAGGAGGAGGGCTGGGGTTAGGGACTTGCCCGGGTTTCCTGATAGTGAAGGGCTATGGAGCCAGGCCCTTGAAGGGGATCCCAAGGTCCTTATAAGAGCCACCACGGTCCAGAGTCAGAGACCACAGAGGCCCCCACTAGCCAGCACTGGTGTAGAGGGCTGCACTGTGAGCAAAGCTCTTTGCCAGGTGGCTGGTACGTGGAGGGGCAGGAAGCTTCCTGGTGGGCCTGAGGGCCTGGGCCATAAGAGGAGCTGTTGGCATTTCTGGCAGGAGGCTGGCACTGTCACAAGAGGCTCTGAGGTCACACGTTCACAACACGATGGCTGTTTAGACCACAGTGAAGATATATTAGCACAGCCATTGGCGGGTGAGGGTTGCACAATTTGATGGCAAAGGAAACACCAGCAGTCAGTCCTTAACCCCACTGTTCTCCGCCCTGACCTACCTGCCTCTGCACCAGCTGCTTTAAGAAGACCGTCACTTGTGTATGCTGGTGGGCATGGAAAATGGCACAGCAGTTCTGGAAGGTTTTTTGGCAGCTCCTTTTGAAACTAAAAATGGACTTACCATATGCCCCAGCCATAGCACCCTTCTATATTCAAGAAAACAAATACTTATTTCATGTGCACACTTGGACATGAATTTTTCCAGCAACTTTATTTGCCATAGCCCCACACCAGGAACTACCCAGATGTCCTGTAGCAGCTGAGGGTTGAACAAAGTGTGGCACAGCCACACCGTGGAGTACTACTCAGCCCTGAAAAAGAAACACCTGCTGATACACACAGCTGGGTGGGTTCCCACGGGTGGAGGGCTTATGCTGAGAGAAAGAAGCCCAGCTCTAAAAGATACCTCCTGGGTGGTTCCATTGGTCTAACACTTGTAAAGTCACAGCAATAGAGAGACGAGCACAGATTCATGGTTGCCAGAGTTTGAGATGGGCTGTTCAGCTGAGAACCATCCCAAGTGGTGGTTACGCACACACACACACACACACACACACTCTCATACTCACATGTGAGAGCGTGTATGACTGCTGCAGTGGGTGAGGTCGGGCATGGGTCAGGCCAACATGACCCAGATCTCCCTCAGCCCTGGGAGGTGGGCAGGGGTCCCATCCTCTGTTCCCTTTGTGGTCTTGAGGGGGAGCTGAGTGCTGGGTCTGGGTCCAGCCTGGTTCTTCCCACCTCCTTCCCTGCTCTGACGGGCCTCCTCTTGCCTTCCAGCCATGGCTGAAAAGTGTTCCACAGCTTAACCCCCTTCCGTGATGAACTCAAAGGACCCCAAGAAGTGCCCCCAGTGTAAGAAGAGTAGAAACAAGGCCCAGGAAGAATTTGCCAGGAAGTTTCCGTACAGGTACTAGATCCCGATACACCTAAGGCCAAGTCCTGCCTCCCCCCGAAGACCACACCAAAAGCTCATTCCAGGGGTGTAAAGAGTGGACCTGGGAGGAGGTTTCTCATCCACAGAGAGTTCCCTTAGCAGCTCTGTGACAGTCTGGGGTTTATCTTCACCTCCTTCCCAATCTGAGCTGAGGGCTTCTAGATAGGTGCCAGGAACCGCTGGGGCCATCCCAGAGCTTAGCCGGCTCTTTCCCTCTGAGCCAGTGGCCTCACAGGACCACCTGAGGAGCACATTCATGAACAGCTGTCCCTCCAAAGGTGTTATGGGGTCAGACTGGAGTGGGGTGTAGCTTGGAAAGCCCCAGGGCACTCGGGAACCAGCAGAGAACCCCAGACTGGGCAGCTCTGGGGCCTCCGCCAGCAGCATCAATGCACTGATGGGTCCTGAAAAAAACGTAGCAACCTTGGAGGGCTTCCTAGCTGTGTGACCTTGGGCCAATCACCTGACCTCTCTGTGCCTTAATTTCCTCATCTATGAATGGTTATGAGTTGGCGTCAGGTTAGTGCTGATGAAGCACTTGGAATGATGACTGGCGTGTAGAAAGTTCCAGACGAGCAAGAGCTATTTGTGCGGCTGGTGGCTGCAAGCTCCCTAAAGATGCCAGGTGCCCACTGCAGGTTCTCCTGGCTGACGGAACCCACTACAGAGTTCCTGCAGCCCTGGGAGGTCACGAAGATGACCACCTCACTGAGGGACCAGCTGCCCCTGCAGAAGACGCTGGTGCCAACGAGATCCATCCCAATCAGAGGGTGAGTCACAGTCTGAGATGCCGACAGGCGCTGCAGCCCACTGCCCACAGCCCACACTCAAGCTGCTGGCCCTTGCCCCCGTATCTGCACAGGGACACACACACGTGCCTCTCCCGGCAGGCTGCACTTCCAAGCTGAGGAAACTGAGGTTCAGAAATGAGACACCAAATTCCAGTGGTGCCTCCCACAGCAAGGCAGTTTGTGGGAGAGACTGCACAGGACCCTCGGAGAGGGTCTTACCTGGAGATGCCCCTGTACACACTCCACACATGTGGAAACAGGCCTGAGGAGGCAGCTTAGCCACCATCCTTCCACACAGCAGAGGCAAAACAGAGGAAGAGCCAGCAAGTTTTTGGTCTCTTGCAGCCTGCTCTGAGGGCGGAGGCAGGGACGGGGACCCTCATGCTAGTGATTTCTAGACTGACCATGTCCTCACAAATGCCCCCCACCATGGGCATACACACACTCAAACACCCAGACACCTTTGGAAAGACCCACACCTGAGACCCAGAGAGGCAACATAAACACTCACACTTGTGTGCGCATGTGCACACACACACACACACACACGCGCGCGCGCAGGAACACAGATTCATGCCTCTTCTCTGCCCACACTGGCCCTGACTCTTGTCTAGGGTCTCGCGTTCCCTCCCTCGTCTGGCTGTGGGTTTGCTCCAAATGTCGGAACGGGATGCTGAGCTGCAGAGGCTGAGGGCTGAGTCTCAACTTCTGCTTCTTCAGAATGGGATCAGCTGCCAGCCCGGGGTCCGGCGGGGACCAGTCAGACTATACGCATAGGCCCAGACTCAGTGCTGGGGCCTGCCGTGGGGGGACTGTCATGGGAAGAGCACTTCGGGATGGTGACATGGAGCCGAGAACTGGAGGACAAACTGAAGCTGTTTGCAATGTGTCAGGGAGCTCAGGAGGCAGGGGGCCTCCTCGACCCACCAGGGCCCAGCACCGGCGGGGAGCCGATCCCTCCCCTGGGTGGGACAGGTGGGCAGGGGCCAAGAGCCCTAGGGCAGGGAGGGGGCTGTGGCTACGGGGCCTCTGCCAAAGGCATCAAAGTAGTGGGGAGCTGGGAGAGATCCCCCACCTCATCATCCACCCTCGGAACTCCCACCAGCCTTCTGTTGGGGAATCAACCAGAGCAGGAACGGTTGGGCCGGAGGGCCACGTTCCGCAGATGCCAAAGTAGGGCAGAGAGGGGATGGGGAGAGAGGACAGGAGAGGGCATGGGGGCCCAGGTGAGAAGCAGGGAGCTTGTAGGAGGAGAAACTGCAGGCAGTGGGAGGCAAGTGCCAATGTCCTGAGGCGGGATAGAATGATGTTCCCTTTAGGGAACTTGAAGTTCTCCTTTTCAGGATGGTGAGGGGACAGGTGACAGAGGATGCTAAATGCCCACATCTGTCTGAGGGGGAATGGGGAGCCACTGAAGTCTAGGGATCAGGACAGTGGCATTCCCAGACCTGATGTAGCTGTTGGAAAAAACTGACTAGGAGAGGAGCAATGACCTCACTAAGGAAATGGCCATACAGCGCTTGTGCCCCTGCTGGAGGCCGTGCAGCTACTGGCAGGCATGAGGATGACACTCACTCGGTGTCTGTGCAGGCCTCGTGGGTCAAGTCCTGGCCATGTCTGAGGCCCCGCATGGGAACCCTGTGGGGGTTCTGACATGGACATCAGTGGGGCGTGGTGGTGGCTAGGAGGGCAGCAGAGGCTCAGTGTGGGGTCCTGGGGCAGGTCTGGGCTGGGAGCAGAGTCTTGGTCATGGCCCTGGCTGACAGCTCTGGACCCGTGGGGTTCTGTGTGTCTTTTCTAGACTTGGGGCCCCAGATTTTACATCATCGTCCTGCTTGTACACTCCACCACTACCGCCACCTCAGAGCCAACTTTGGGAACTCAAGCTAGTGAGCCGCCGCTTCCCTGGGCCAGGTGCCCACGCCGCCCACCCCTCCAGAAGCCTCTCCCAGGGCCCGGCTCCCAGCGGCCTCCCTCTCGGCTGCCGGTCCCTGGTGTTCCAGGCAGCAGCCACTGACAGAGGTGAACTCTAGTGAGGGGAACCGCTCTGACGGGGCTCTTCATCGCCTCATCAGCCACACCGTCTGAATAAACTTTTCAGGTTCAAATCCTATTTCTGCCTGGACTGAGTGTTTTGTTTTCCTAGCATCTATGTTCTTGTCTATAAAATGAGGTGAAGCTCAATCTCAAGAGGTTGGTGTGCGGTTTAGAGAGAGCAGGAATGTCATTTCCCAGAAGTTGAAGTTCTGGCGAGGGCGCACTCACACACCTGATAAGGATATATGGACAACGGTATTCATTACAGCGCCATAGCAAAGGATTGGAGACCACCTATGTCCCCTACTAGGGGGCTGTTCACTGATCTTCCACGGCTAGACCCTGAACTACCAGGCCACCACAGAAATGAAGAACCAGCTCTTTACATGCTGGTCTGGAACAATCTACAAAGTGTATTCAGATTTTTTTAAAGCACGACAGAAGTGTGTCAGATATGCTCCCATCTTACGTACATTAGGAAATTGTGTGTGTGCACGTGTGTGCATGTGTGTGTATGTGTTTGTGTGTGCGTGGTAGGTAATAATCAGTGTCTCTGGGTAGATGGGGAACCTGGGGACAGCCTACTATTTTCTGAAAAAAAAAAATTTTTTTTTTTGTAAGATTTTATTTATTTATCTGACAGGCAGAGATCACAAGCAGGCAGAGAGGCAGGCAAAGAGCGGGGAAGCAGGCTCCCTGCTGAGCAGAGAGCCCAACGCTGGGCTCGATCCCAGGACCCTGAGATCATGACCTGAGCTGAAAGCAGAGGTTTTAACCCACTGAGCCACCCAGGTGCCCCTATTTTCTGAAATTTTAATACAGGAGCCTAATACCACGTTGTTGGTGTATTACAAAGTCTTCAAAGAGAAGTAGCATGGAATCCTTCAGAGAATGGTGGGATTGCTTTGGGATTTGTCACAGCAGCACCCCTGGAGGAGGGTGCCTGCAGGAGATGTAAGGGTTTCCCGCTTCTCTGTTTTACAGAGAGAGGGACCAGAAGTTCATCTTGGAGTCCTTGGGAGGGTAAATACAATCAGGGATGATAACGATAGCCCCCTTGCTAGGAGAGAAGGGTGTGGGGGCTCTGAAGATGACTAAGGGGGCTGCACTGAGTAAGGTGGGAAGTGGCCCTATTGTCTTGGAAAGAAGGTGGAATGAGGTACCTGGTGAGAATTGAAAAGAGGCCCTCCCCAAGCCCTGGGGAGGAACAGGATGGTGGTTTCAAGCCTGCTGGAGGCAGAAGACTGCCCCGGGGGGATGGGGAGCGGGGGTCGGGGGACCTGGGTCTCTTGTCCATCCAGGCTCTGGTGGGAAGCAAATCGGGTGTACCATGCACAGGGCAGTATTGGCCTGTTGGTAGAAGGAAGCAGACACCCCAGGATCTCCTCCCACTGGGGTCGGAGGCAGGCTAATCTCCATTTACAGTGTGTTTAAGTCTCAGGACTTTTCCTCCAATGTTCACAGCTACGTCCTACTTGATATTTGCAAAATACAGCACCATAAGCCTTTGATGCAGGATAGGGGTGCAGTGACACACGTTACCGAGTCCCTCTGCCCAGGAGCTGCTTTTCCAGCCACTCCCCTCCTCCTTCCTCTCCCCGGGGTAACCACAGCTCTTTCCTATCCTTCTAACACTTGTATCTCGAAACAATACATTGTTTACTTCTCTCTCTCTTTTTTTCTTTTTTTTTTTAAGTGATGTAAGATTGTATTATGCTCCATGCAACTTCTTGTCTTCAACAGCAACTTACTACAAGTCACCTGATGGTAGGTGCGGGTCATTTAATCGTTTAGTCATTTAAACGAAGCTTGTCCATCCTCTTTCTGACAGATGCTTGGTTTCCAGTTGTTGCTGTTGTGAATACAGCTGCTGTGAGCATCGCAGCCCCATCCTGGGCGCACGTTCTCCACTGGAGTGGTGTCACTGGCCAGAAGGCTCCTGAATGCCAGCCAGCACCACCCTGTTTTCCCCGAGGGGTCCCACTGCCTGTGGCCACCAGCCCCTTATAGAAAGGAGTCCCTTTGCATCCCCCCCATGCACCACTCTCGCTGTGGCCCCTGAGCATTCAGGAAGTAGGCGGGAGGGTATGCACGTGGGGAAATCTGGTCCTGTAAGTAAAGAAAACTCATACCAGTCACCCAGCCAGAGTGAGTCCTAAAACATGCATGGTGTCTGGTGGTTTATCTGTTGGTCCTGCTATGTCCTGAATGTTTCTATGTACATGATGCCTCAAAGAAAACCAACCCTTCAGGAACATGCATTGCAGAAGTCCTCACAGGGACATGGGCGACCCCTGAATGTTCGATAACAGAGGGATGAATTAGCATATCACGGCAGCCCAGACAGCAACCTGGGACACGCTGCCAGCATTTAAGGGAGGCCATCCTGATCCCCAACTGTCCTCGTGCCCTGAGCGCAGTGACAGTAAAACTTACATGAGCAGATGCTTGAAGCCTCCTGCGGATCAGGAGCAGTGAACAGTGTGGTCAGGGTGTGGCTCTGTCTTCTAGGAATGTACCCGACGGTCACACCCCACCCAGGCAGGACTGGATGTACACAGGGATATTACTGCTGCGCTGTAACACTAAAGGACACAAAGTAATCTAATTGCCCATAATTCAGGGATGAATGAAATAAAAGCAGCAAGTCTGCAATGGAATCATGAGTTTCCCTGGAGAGAAACATATGGATGCACATAGTTTCCTACCTGAGGGGCCAAAGCTGTAGTATTTCTCTCCCCATCTTCCAGCAGATGTAGGTTGAGGGCTGCTGGGGGACACTGACTCCCTGCACACCCAACATCCCTGTGCTCAGGCCAAGCAGGTCTGGTGGCCAGAGGGAACCTCTAGGAGGGTGGCAGATGGAGCCGCTGGGAGCCTTCAGGAACGCTACCTGGAAGTGTTTACTGCCACAGGGATGTGGCTTGCGGGGGTTGGTGTCATGCCCAGTCTCCCTTGTGGTGGGAGCATTGCCAGAACGGTAGGCTCTGGAATGTACAGTCCACAGTCTGTGTCTTCAACATTCTGCTGCCCGAGAAGGGAATGGCTCATTTGCATGGACCATGCGGAGAAGGGCTACATATAGCCTAGGGGTGGGGGAGCCATGGGAGAGAAGGGACCTGAGCTCCCAATGGCTCCATGAGGGAGCTGTTCTGCACAAAGAGAACCCAGATGATCTGTCACTGTCACTGAGCCTTCGCCACAGACAGCAGCGCCTGCACCCCAGGAAGAGCTCCCCAGCCCCGCGGGGAAGGGCGGCACCCCGACGCCTGGCCCAAGGACCTCATGGGGTGCTGTAGCAGCCCGGCAGGCTGAGCAGCTCTAGGCCTGGCCGCCTCCACCTTCACCCACCAAGACTATGCAGCCAGTGGCCGAGGCCAGCAGATGCAGCCGGCTGAGACCCCCAAGCTGAATAATACATGAAGCAGCATTCGGACTAAGAACCAGGGGTTTATTTTAGCAAAATTTTAAATCATGGAACTCTGCCTCCCAGGAAGCTGCCTGGATGACAAAGCCACCACAGAAAACTGAAAAACAAAACAAAACAAAACAAAAACCAACACCATAACTACAAAAATCCGGGAAACATTTTCCTCACAAAGCCAAAAACAGCAGACGAACACTGAAACATTTTAAACAAGTCTTTGTAACCCAATCCACCAGTGTCCTTTCCTTGCTGGGGAGGCTGCTGGCCAGCACCCCTCAGCTCTGAGATGGAAAACCACAAAATGGAAGACAGCTGCCAGTAAGCTAAAATGCCAAGTGACCTTCAGTTTGCGCTCTTGATTCCTTCAGGAACTGGGGGAGCCTGTTCGTAGAATAAATCACTGAAGGGTGCCCGGGTGGGCACCCCTCCAGACCCCCTCTTGTCTTGTCCAGCTGTTCACGTGAGACGTGTCTTCCTCGGGCCATCTGATGACCCGGCTGGGACCTTGCTGTTGAGGGGCGGGCAGTCAGCCTGCAAGGACAGACATGTTCCGGTGCCAGCCGGAGAGGAAGCCGGTCAGAGGACACCAGAGTGGGAGGAATTCCCTGTGGCCCACACAAGGAAGAAGAGGCGCCTTCAGCCCCGGGGCCTGGCGTGTGGCCCTCATACTCACGGCAGAGGGTGTGACATCAAGTGCCATCAATGGGGGGTGTGCAGTATGAGGGAGTGTGCGTGGATGTGATATGCTTCAGGATGCAGGAGGCGCTGAAGGACATGACAGCAGGTGCTGTGATTGCAGAACCAGAGGGTGACTTCTAATGGTGATGACCTGGGGCGGGGGGGCACTGGATGGGCAATAACTTCAGCAAACAGGTCGCATCAAAGGCTGCGTGCGCACTGAGGGAGCTTGGAACAAAGGTGTGTGTCATGGAAGTGTGTGGAACAACTGACCGCGAGGTGGCACGTGACACACTGTGGGTATGGCATACGAGGGAGCATGGGAACAAGCCTCCGGGTGTGTCACAGGCCTGACTCCTCCCTCCTCATCCTGGTGCTGTTTCAGGCTCCTGGGCTTTCCACTGCTCTCCAGCAGGGTGAGTCTTCACGGGGAGCCCAGGGGCAGCCCCTTCCCAGGTCCACAGGGGTCAGCTATCACTGACCCTTGCTGGTAGGCCCCATGGACACGGCGTCCGTGAAGGCCTCCACAGGCTTCTGAGGAGGAGCCCTAGAACTGGCCTGGAAAGGGAGTTCTAGGGCAGGGGTAACAACATCAGCAAAGGCCGAGGCATGAATGGGACTGAGCTGCCAGTCCCTGGCCAGCCTGCCCCCGCAGGCCAGTAAGGTCCTGTAACCATGCTCGTGGGCTCTCACCACAGGGTGTGGGGGCACCACAACCCAGGTTTGGCCTCTGCCCTGCCAAGCTGCCCTTCCTCAGCTGTGCTCTGATTTCTGTTTCTCAAAGCCTCAGGCATATCCTTGCCCTGGTCTTCCCAAAGTTCTGGCATTTCGATTTACATTCAGGGAAACTGAGAAAGGACACCACATATCCAAACAGTCACTAAGGGGACATTCAGTCTTTCCTAAGGGACTCCCAGGGCTGGCTGTCTTCCCAAAGCCAGAAGGGGGTATCCTCACTGCCAAGTGGCCTGACACACACTGCAAATACACACCCACACACCCACACACCCACACGCCCACACACCCACAGAAGGGTGGGAGGCAGCCCGAGGCCCGGGGTTCCACTGAGCTGGTTTCAGCTTTTACCTTTAGCCCAGGCAGAATGAAAGGTCAGATTCCCAACGCCCCCCTCCCAGAGTTTTCACCACTGCACCTCCAGCCAGAATTTAGCACCCCTTGTCATGGTTCACCCGCTCCTTACCCCACTCCCCATAGAGCCCTTCACCCGTGTGGGCTGCTGTGAAGGAAAGCCAGGCTCTCCACCTCTCGTGTCTGATCTTCGCGACCACCCGGCATTCTTGTGCCCTTTGGCAGCAAAGGAAAACTGAGGAGCGGAGGTTTGTTGAGATGCCCAAGATCCGACACCCTCAGTAGCAGAGCAAATGGCAAAACAAAGCAGAGAAACCCCAAAACGTCAGAAGTAAACAAAACAAAACAAAACATTTATTTCAAAAACATGAGTTCCCCAGCTCACCAAGGTCCTCTAACACCTGCCACCATAGGGCACTCTGGGCTCTGTGGGCACACACGGAAGACTTAGGATCTGGCCAGATGGAGATCAAAGGTGGGGCCAGCCACGGGGGAGGCAGCACCCCTCCGTGACAGGCAGAGTGGAAGGCAGCTCAGGGTGGGCTCCAGGACCATGCTCACTGACCAGGACGGCCAGAGCCTGAGCCCAAAGACACAGGGCTTTCCTCCTGGGCTACGGCTGTCCGGTGCCAGGGCAGGGGCGGTGAAAAGGGCACTAGGCGAGGCCGCAGATGGCACTGAACCAGCATTCTGCTCTGTTGCACCACAAACAGGTCTGGGGTCAAAGCTGACCACCCCCCGCCGCCCCCTGCCAAAATGGTCTCTCACAAGCTAAAAAAATACTAGTAATCCAATGCTTCCCCACCCAAGAGTCTGGAGGAGTGCCTGCCAGATGGCTTAGTCAGAAGAAGCAAGCACCAAGTGACCGGCAGGCACACGGGTGTACAGCTGTCTGAGGTGGGCGGCACCCAAACCTGGCCAGGTGGGATGGAGGCCCCGGTGGGCCGGCCAAGCAGGGAAAAGCGGGGGGCCGTGGTGATCAGAGTGGAGTCCGGGCAGGCAGCCCCAGCACGCGCACTGTCCGGCCCCACCTGAGACCCCGGGGCATCGGTTAGTGTGACGGACCCCACGGGGGCTCCACGGCCTAGTGCAGCCGCAGGTAGGAAGGGGCAGAGTAGTTGAAGAGCAAGAAGTCCATCCTGTAGAGGTCGAAGAGGCGCCGCTGGTAGAAGGGGCTGATGTCCCGGAAGAGGCGCTCGGCCAGGTCGCGGGCGGCAGCCCCCTTGGCCCCGGGCGGGGGCGCCGGGAAACGCAGGCCGGAAGCGCCCACCAGGCCCAGCACGAAGGCGGCGTCCTCCGCCAGCGTCTCGAACTTGCCCACCACGTCGTAGCGCAGGCGGCACGGGTGGCAGAGCGCGTGCGCGCGCTCCCAGTGTTCGTTGAAGGGCTCCTCGCGGCGCGTGCGCGGGTCCAGCAGGTAGGCCAGGAACTCGGCGAAGCGCACGTCGTGGCCGCGCGCCAGAGCGTCGGGGTGCGCGCGCGGCCTCAGGCGCCGCACGATGCGCGTGCCGTAGCGCTGCTGGAAGGCCGCGCTGTAGGGCCGCGCGAACTTGTTGCGGTAGGCCGACGCCAGGCGCTCGAAGGGCTCGCGCACGAAGAGGACGGCCAGATAGGCGCGCAGCCGCCGGTTGATCTCGGCCGGGCTGAAGTCGGCCAGCGAGGGCAGGCGGCCCGGCGCGTGCGCCTCGTGCGCGGGGATGGCGAGTGGGTCGCCGCGGGCGCGGCCGCTCAGCGCCAGCAGCACGCGCTTCCAGTTGGTGCAGGCCACCTTGGGCACGTAACAGTAGAGCAGGCCATGCGCGTCGTCCACCAGCACGTGCCGCAGGTCCTCGGGCCCCAGCAGGCGCTGCCGGCGCGTGTGGCGACTGCAGGCGCGGCGCAGCAGGTCCCGCCGCTGCCGGTGCACTTCCGCCAGGGCGGAGCTCGGGCCCTGCGGGCGACAGCGGAGGTGGGGGGAGGGGAGCGGAGGTGGGGTCATTGCTGCGGGCCCTGCGCCCACCAGCCCGTGGAGAAGGAACGGAGGATTTGAACCCCGGCACTGCCACCCATCATTGTGATTTGGGACCCAGGGATCTGCCGTAGACCAGAATTGGGGTGTGTGTGTGTGTGTGACTCTAACCTCACTGAGGCAGGTGGAAGGATGTGACAAATAGGGTTGGACACTCAGGACCAAGGAGGTCCTGGTAATGCATATGCTGGTGTCAGAGTAAGCCTGATTAATAAGTCATCAGAGTGGTGAGCGTGGGCACAAATTGAATATCTGCTCACTGTTTACTAAAAGCGAGATAGTGTATAAGAACAACAGCGTTAATTCCATATAAAGAGCTGAGAAATGCAGCCATCTGTAGGCTACTAAGATACTTTTTTGTTCAATAATAAAATTAGCGAATTCTGTATTTAGGAATTGGTATGTTCCTTTGGCTCTTGATTTTTTTTTCCCCAACAACAAATTCTAACCTCAGTAGTTGGGCAGGAAACTTGCCCTCGCTGAAGCCCGTCTCTCTTCTGTGAAATACTAACATCCACTATTTATCTAGCACCTACTGTATGCCAGGCACTTTGCTGTGCACCTTACAACTCTATAAATTAGGTGGTATTAGTATACATGGGCCAGCCCCTCCCAGCCTGTCTCAGCTGTGCTAAGATCCAAGCTACAGAATGGTGGCTCCTTTCCTTCAAGTCCCTTCTGCACCAAACAGGGTCTCCATTTCCAAGACTCCCCCTCCCGCCCCTCCTCTTCCTGATTTTCATCCAAGACTTCTTAGGAAAAGTGTTTTTAATTTCTCAAAATTGCCTTAAAAACCTTCAAGATATAATAAAAATAATAATAAACATTGTGCAGGACGTGGGAAAATGGGACCTTCATTCATTGCTGGTGAGAATGTAAAATGATACAGCTGTTGTGGAAAGCAGTTTGGCAGCTTCTCAAAAAACAAAACAAAACAAAACAAACAGATGATCCATCTAGGTATATACCCAAGATAACTAGAAACATATGTCAGGCCAAGACTGGTACATAAATGTTCACAGCAACCTTATTCATAATAGTCAAAAGGTGGAAACAACTCAAATGTCCATCAATGATGACTGGATACATAGTATGTGGTCTGTCCATAAAAGGGAATATTACCCAGCCATAGAAGGTATGAAGTTCTGATGCACCCTAAGAAAAAGATTATGCCTGCCAAGTGAAAGAAGCCAGACACAAAAGGCCACATGTTGTATGATGGATTCCACTTACATGAAATGTCTAGAATAGATCCATAGAGACAGAAAGTAGACTGGTAGTTGTCAGGGGCAGGTGGGAAGGGAGGGGGAGGGACTGCTAATGGGTGCTGGGTTTCTTTTTGCGGGTGATGAAAGTGTTCTGTAGTTAGAGAGTGGTGATGGCTATGCGGCCTTGTAAGTTCACTACATACCACTGAAGTGTACACTTTAAAAGAGTGAATTTTGTGGTATGTGAGTTATATCCCAATTATGAAAAAAAGCCTTGTGTTTCCATTTCAGGGAAGGACAAAGTAGCACCTGAAATGGTGGGACACTTGGTCCAGTGCCCACGTAAGAGTATCTGCTGTTGCTGGGTGGGAAGGGGAAGAATGTGTCTGTGTGTGGGGAGGTGCTCACTTGAGCTTCTCATGACTTTAAAAGTATCCTGCAGAAATCCAAGATCCTGCTAGTGATAAAAGCTAAAGTACAGAATAAGAGTTGACATGTCACACTTTCGGTTTACAAAGGGTGAGGAAAGAAAGGGAAAAAATGTTTCAGAAAGGATAGGTTGTAGGGAGCCTCTCGTATTTTAATGTTTTTAAAAGACATTTGTTTCAGAGAAAGAGAGAGAGAGAGAGAGAGAATGGGGGGAAGAGAGAATGAGCATGGTGGGGAGGGGCAGAGGGAGAGAGAGAGAGAGAATCCCAAGCAGTGCCCTGCTGAGATCAGAGCCCAATGCACAGCTCCATCTCATAACCCCAAGATCATGACCTGAGCCAAAATCATGAGTTGGACACAACTGACTGAGCCACCCAGGTGCCCTGGGAGCCTCTCTTTTAGATGTATGTTGAAATTGTCATGTAATGAACAAGGCTGGGATTTGCTTCCAAATAAGCCCAGGTAGGAAGGGAGGGAGAGGGGTCTGAATGAAATAGGATTGGACAAGAGTTGATCACTGTTTAAACTGGGTTATGGGAATGTGGGGGTTCGTTGTACATTTTATTTCTGTATGTGTTTGAATTTGTCTCAATTTGAACATGAAGCAGAAAAAAAGAGGACATATATACCTGTAGGTATGATGCTGGAAAAGTATCTAAGCACCTGACAGCATTGGACACTACACACATGCCTGGAAAGGCACACAGGGAATGAACTGGTCGCCTGCAGGGGTAACCAGGGCCAGGGTGGGAAGGGAAGGTACTCTTCACTGGATGTACTCTTTTGAAGGGTTGGATGCCCTATCATGTGCTTATCTTTCTTTTTCAAAATCTCACTGAGGGCTGGCTGCCAACCTCAGAGCAGTGAGGGTTGTGAAAGAACTAGGAGGATTCCCTTCCCTCTAAGGCAGACTCACAGGACTGGCCTCAAAAGCCTGGCTCCACATGGGTGCCAGTAGAAGGCTGTATCTAGTGGCCCCACAGCCAAGGTCTGCTTTCAGCTTCCAGACATCCCCACATATTTCTTGTCGCAGGTCAAGTTGGCCATCCACCCAACTGTCAGTCACCGTCCTTCCTTGCCAGCAGACCCCACTTACAATCATGTGCAGAGCCTTGGGGGAAGAACCAGTCATAGCAGCCTCACACAACTTAAGCTGTGAGGTCAGCTATACAGGTCAGGGACCCAGCTGACCTGCTTGCCACTGGATCAGCAGCATCCCGATCACAGCCTGCATACAGTAGGTGCTCTATACATGCTGTCTGAATGGGTGCCTCTCCTTGTGCCTGCTGATGTGTGTGTGAGCGGGGGTCTGTGGCTCTCAGTGGGGTCTGTGTGTGTGTTTGGGCTATGCATGGTTCACAGCAGAAGTGGAATGTCTGAGACAGCAAGCCTCCTGGTCCCAGTGCCTGAGAACAGCGTGAGGGCAAGGGCTCCCTGCATGTTTCCCTATCACAGCAGGTATTAAGATCTGGGGGGGGGGGGTCACCTAATTCCTGTCTCCCCACTAGACTGTCAACTTCCTGAAGGTCCTTTATTCTTTTATATCCTCAACACATGGTAGAGTGCCTGGCACAGCGTGACTTCAGCCTGTTGTTGGGTGGATGATGGATGGGTAGGAGGGTAGGTGGGTGGGTGGGTGGAGACCAGGTCTCTTAGCTTGTCCTAAGATTTGCCCTTGTCACAGACATTTTCCTCTCTGCACGGGGCCTTGACTTACAGAGGAAGCCTCTTTAAGTCCAACTGTGGGCTCCAATCCCAAGATGGAAGTTCTACACTGGAAACTCAGTTCTCAGTTTCCTGTGGCTGGAGGTAGAGGGAGGCATCACTGGATAGGGGTCTGTCCACCTACCTGGTCCAAGTCATAAAGCATCTGCAGGGGACTCCTCCTCTTCCCACCAAGCCAGCCAGAGCCCAAGCTGTTTTCAAATGCTATGGGACATAAAGAAAGAGACATCAGTTGGGCTGGCTGTAGCCCTTGGGGGACTTGGCCAACTCCCTTAGGCACATTTGATCTACCTCTGGGACTCAGTTTCCCTCTTGTGTCTCACCTGCCTCCAGGAGGCTTGATGGGGTGTGGGCCACTGATAGGCCCCCTAATCCACCAGGGCAGGATACTTGGTATTGCTCCTGCCCCATGTCACCCCCCCACCTTCAGAGCTGGAGGACACCAGGTAGGCAGGGATGAGAAGAAATGTGGAACTCAGCCCACAGCCCATTGGTAAAGACCTGGCCACCCAAACTTACCCATCTCCATCTGCCTTCATTTCATGCCCCACGCCTACCAGCCCCATGTCCATGGGGCCCTAAGGGGCTCACCAAGCTGGCTGGCATTGCAGCCTCCTGAGATCCTGGATGTGGGCAGCCAGAAAGGGCTGGGTAGCAATAGAGGTAGCACAGCCAAGCTGCAGGTTTTCCAGTGACAGCCCACCAGGTCACATGACTCCTACAGCAGCCTGTAATTCCCTGGCCAATGTGTATGTCACTTGATGGTAAATGCAGGTTTCACTGTCTCCCAGATTGGAAGACAGTGCGCAGGTATACAATCTGTCTCGCTGCTGCACTCTTCAATCTTCCTAAAACTACCAAAAACTCTCCTTACTAAATTTATTCTTTTACTCTAAAGGCATTTTAAGGAATATCTTCCTACATATTCAATTAACATAATGTCGTTGATTTAGGTAAGCATAGGCTCATGATCTTCTGCTTCTTGATCACATTTTTCTACAGTATAATGCAGTCTTCAAAAAGATCACCAAAACTGGCAAACCTTCAGCTAGACAGACCAACCAAGAAGAATGAAGTCTCAAATTACTAAAAACAGGAATGAAAGAGAAACCATTAGAATTGAATCTTACAGAAATGAGAACGGCATGAACAATTCCTAAAAAGATGAGAATTCCTGAAATTGACTCAAAAAAAAATAGAAAATCCCAATGACATAGAACCATTTATGTATAATGTATATGTGTAATAATGTACTATATAATATGTATAATAATGCAGTGTAAAATAATATATATAATAATGCAATGTATGATAATATGTATACATATACTGAAGTAGTAATATATTAAAAAAAAAAAAGAGAGAGAAGCCCAGAATCAGATGATTCACTAGTGAATTTTACCAAGTATTTAAAGAAGAATTAAAACCAATATCTTCCAAACTCTTTACCCCTCTCAAAAATACAAAACAGAATTGGGGGTGTAAAATACCTCCTAACTCATTATATGAGCCCAGTATTACCCTGATATCAAAACCAGACATAGATATCACAAGAAAAGAAAATGACAGAATAGTATCTCTTATGAACATAAAAAAAAAATACTGCAGATTGCAGACTGAACCCATCAACATATGAAATGGTTATATATAACCAAGTAATATATACCCCAGGAGTGCAAGAGTGATTCAACATACAAAAATCAATCAAGGTAATACACTACCATATTAATAGAGTAAAAGAAAAAACCCACATAATTATCAATACATGCAGGAAAAGTACAATATTCAATACCCTTCATAATAAAAACACTAAACAAACTAGAACTTGAAGGGAACTTCTTCAAACTGATAAAGGCCATCTAGGAAAAACATATTTTATGGTGAAAAACCAGATGTTTTACCTCTAAGATCAGGAACAAAACAAGGGATGCCCACTTTTACCACTTCTTTTCAACAATGTACTAGAAGTTCTAGCCAGGGTAACTGGGAAAGAAAAAGAAAGAAAAGGCATCCAGATTGGAACAGAAAAAGTAATATTATGTCTGTTTGTAGATAACATGAATATATATAGATTATATAGAATCCACCATAATATATATATATTCTATAATACATAGAATCCATCAACTATTAGAGCTAAGAGCTAATAAATGAGTTCAGCAAGGTTGTAGAATAAAAGATCAATATTCAATAGTCAATTGTATTTCTAAATACTAGTAATGATATATCTGAAATTGAAATTACAAAAAATCTCCACTTACAATAGTTAAAAAGAATAAAATATTAAGGATTAAATTTAACAAATGAAGTGCAAGACTTATCACTGAAGACTACAAGACATCACTGAAAGAAATTGAAGACCTGAATGAATGGAAAAATATCCCATGTTCATGGATTGGGAGACTTAATGTCATTAAGGTGGCAGTCCTCCCCAGATTACTAATACTATTGCTATAAAAACCCTAGCTGTCTTTTTTTTTTTTTTTTAGATTTTATTTATTTATTTGACAGACAGAGATCACAAGTAGGCAGAGAGGCAGGCAGAGAGAGAGGAAGAAGCAGGCTCCCCGCTGAGCAGAGAGCCGATGTGGGGCTTGATCCCAGGACACTGGGATCATGACCTGAGCCGAAGGCAGAGGCTTTAACCCACTGAGCCACCCAGGCGCCCCCCTAGCTGTCTTTTTTTGCAGATTTACAGTTGTTGACAATTGACAGCTGATCCTTAACTTAATTTGACAATTCAAGGGATTTAGAATATCCAAAATAATCTTGAAAAGGAACAAATTTGGAGATCTCACACTTCCTAATTTCACCTACTTACTATGAAGCTACAGTAATTAAGACTATGTGGTGCTGGAATAGGAGAGATACTGACTGATGAAATAGAATTCACAATTCAGAAACAAACATTTACATTTAAGATCTAAGGATCTTGGGGCGCCTGGGTGGCTCAGTGGGTTAAGCCTCTGCCTTCGGCTCAGGTCATGATCCCAGGGTCCTGGGATCGAGCCCCACATCGGGCTCTCTGCTCGGCAGGGAGCCTGCTTCCCCCTCTCTCTCTGCCTGCCTCACTGTCTACTTGTGATCTCTGTCAGTCAAATAAATGAATAAAATCTTTAAAAAAAAAAATTGTTTTAAGATCTAAGGATCTTTTTGATTAGGGTGCCAAGACAATTCAATAGGGAAAAAAATAGTCTTTATGATAAACTTTGCTGAGACAACTGGATATCCATATGTAAAAGAATGAAATTGTACCGCTACCTCAAACCATATACAAAAACTAACTCAAAATGGATCATAGGCCTAAATGTAAGAGATAAAAATATAAGACTCATAATGAAAACATAGACATATATTTCCATGATCTCTGAGTTGGCAGTGATTTCATAGATATGGCATCAAAAGCACAAACAACAAAAGAAAAAATAGATAAACTAGACTATAACAACATTAAAAACTTTTCTGCTTCCAAGGACACCATCAAGAGGGTGAAAAGAGCACCCGCCAACTTGGAGAAAATATTTTCAAATGATATAACTGATAAAGGACTAGTATCCAGAATATATAAAGAGCGTCTATGACCAAATGATAAAAGACATAACCCAACTTTTCAAGTAGGCAAAGGATATGAATAGACATTTCTCCAGTAATATACAAATTGCCAATAATGGATAAAAAGATGCTCAACATCTCTAGCTGTTAGGAAACCTCCTTAAGACACAACTTCTCACCCACCAAGATGGCTGTAATAGAAAAAGACAAAAACAAGTGTTGGTTAGGATGTGGAAAAATTGGAGCCCTTATACTTTGATGGTGGGAATGTAAAAACAGAGATATTTTGCCACAGGAAACAGTTTGGCAATTCCTTAAAAGCTAAGCCTAGGGGGGCACCTGAGTGGCTCAGTGGGTTAGGCCTCTGCCTTCAGCTCAGGTCATGATCTCAGGGGCCTGGGATCGAGCCCCGCATATGGCTCTCTACTCAGCAGGGCGCCTGCTTCCCCCTCTCTCTGCCTGCCTCTCTGCCTACTTGTGATCTCTCTCTCTGTCAAAAAAAAGAAAAAAAAAAAACTTAAAAAAAAAAAAAAAGTTAAGCCTAGTGGCACCTGGATGGCTCAGATGGTTAAGTGTCTGCCTTCAGCTTGGATCATGGTCTCTAGGTCCTGGGATAGAGTCCCATGTGGGGCTCCTGGGTCAGCAGGGAGTCTCCCACTCCCTGCTTGTGCTCTCTCTGTCTCTCAAATGAGTAAATAAAAAATTAAAAAAAAAAAAAAAAAAAAGCTAAGCCTAGATGATTTTGTAAAGATGACAGACTAGGAACACCAAGAATCTGTCCCTCCACCTAGGCAACAATTGTACTAGCAGAATCTATCTGATACATCGGAGCGAATTGGAATTCTGGAGTCCTTTGAAGGATTTCAACTTCCAAAGGAAGGCTTAAATGGTAATTAGTGGTAAATTTCAGTTAGTTTCAGCTCTTAGCACAGGGCAGCTACCCATCCCCCACCCCCACCACATGGCATGCAGCTGTGCATGTGTTCATGGAGCAGTTTACATACAGCACAAAAGAGCCAGAGAGGGCAAAAGAGACCTGTTCTCCAAATATCAGAGATCTGTGCTTTGATTGGTTGTACCTCCCCACATTGTTGCAAGCCCCTCCCCCTCCACATAAAGTGACTTCCAGGAGAAGTCTGGTTTACTTTGAAGAGCTGGTTTACTTTTCCCCACCTTTCATTTTTCTCTTTTCCCCTTTTTGGAGCCAGATATTACATACTAAAACATTCAAAACAACCGCATAGGTGGGGAAAAATAGAAACTGACTGAATGCCCAGGAAGAGCTCAGAAAAGACCTAAGAAGTCTTTAAATTTATACCTTGGGCTGAACCTCAGCACAGACTACAACAATCAGAAAAACAAAAACAGAAACTAAAAACAGCAATCACTGAGAAAGAGAATCTGATTTCCAGAGGTACATTTTGATTCAGATGTTCAGTGTTCAACAAAAAAATTAGAAGTCATACAAAGAAACAGGAAAAGTATGGCGAATTCAAATGAAGAAATTTGTATAAATTCAAAATACAATGTATAATTTTAGGATATTCAGTATAATCTCCATGGTATCCACAAAAGAAATGAGAAAGTAATTTAAACATTTTACTACAAAAAATAAATTGACTAGGCACAAAAGTAGACAGTATAACAGGAAA